CACTCCCGGGCTGATTGCTGGCAAGGGGTTGCCTGACACCTCCAGCTCAGCAAGGCTGGGCAGCCCCCGAAAGGCACCGGTTTCCAGCTCCTGGATGTTGTTGTTGAGGAAAACCAGCTTGGTGAGGGTGGTGCTGGAACCCAGGTCCCCGCTGCGGATGCTGCTCAGGGCCGTCTCCACGAAGAAGAGCTGGGTGGCATTCCCTGGCAGGCCCGCTGGGATCTCCCGCATCCTCTCCTCTGAGCAGAAGACTTTGGAGGTGTCGTAGCACTGGCAGATAGGGGGGCAGGGCAGGGGCAGCCCCCCCACCAGCAGGGACCCCAGCCCCAGCAGCACGTAGACCGCCAGCCTGCACTGGAGAAAGAGCCGAGCCTCATCCCCTGCCTTGGCGAGGCAGAAACCTGCACCCACAGGCGGGAGCTGCTGGGGAAGGGGCTTCTGCAGCCAGAAGTGCAGCGGGAGCAACCTCTGGGGCACTGCCAGTGTGGGCAGCTTCCCCAGCCATGGGGCATCCCTCCAGCCCCGGCTGCCTGCACCATCCCTGCCCTCCCCTTGTGGGAATGGGGAGTGCTTCCCTCCCAAATCTCTCCTGGCCTGCCCCCAGCTCCACTCCAGCCCACCCTGTGACAACCAGGGTCGTGCCATCCTTGCCAAAGGTCCCCATGTCCTGCAGAGCGGTGGCTGACGTGGGACCTGTATGATCCCGTGGGCGTCTTGGGGGAACCTGCGGCCTCACGAGATGTCTCTACGGGCACGGAGCTGGGCTCTGGGGTGGAGAAGCATGTGAAGCACAAGGATGTGCTGCACACCCTGGGTGATGGGGACAACGCTGCAGAGCTGCTCTACACTCGGTGACAAAAGAAGCGGGCCCCAATAATTGTATTTCTAACTGCCCATTAAGTACTTCTTTTGCTGCGAGCAACTGGAGCAGCATCAAACCTGCCTGAGGGATATTCCACTTGCCCAAATGCCTGTTCCCAGCACACAGGAGGCACTTTTAAAGGCACTGGCCTCCAGACTTCTGCCGGTCCTTCCCTACGTGGGATACATGCCAGTGCTTCCGCGCAAGGAGTGATGCTGCCCACCCCACAGCAATACTCACCTGCAGACCCCCCACAGGAGTGGGGCTGTCCTGGACTTAATGCCAGCGCTCAAGAGCTGCATTGGGCTTGGCTTTTCCTTTCCATCATCTCATTTGTTTTCATCAGAGCCAACAGCAGCTCCCACCCATCCCAGGCCCCCCCAAACTGCCCGAGCAGTGTGGCCACCACTTACCGAGTGTGGCATCGTGGAGACTGCCACCGAGC